CTAGAAGAGGACGAGGAAGAAGAAGGCTACAAGGACATTGTGGAGCACACAGAAGTTGTCACGGTGAGCTCCCATGATGATCATGATCAGGAATGTCATAGCATAGCCGACCACACCTTCCCACATACCAAACTGAGCTTTGAAGAGGCGGGCATGAGTGAGGAGGTGCGAGAAGATCTCATGAAAGACATTGCTTGGCAACTTGCTCTCCAATCTGTGCTCGAAGAAGAAGAGCAAGAAAGGGTGCAGAAAGAAGTTGTGGAGGATGACGAAAGTGAAGCAGGAGGAGTTCTTGATCATTTCCCAGGGGTGATACCACATGAACAACAAAGGGAGGTTGAAGGAGAAGTTGGCGTCCAGGCTGAGGACGAAGTTGTGGTGGAAGAGGCTTGCACCGGCCATGAGTTACATTCGATATCTCCACCAAACTTCGAGGAACTACTTAGCAAGGACCCATTTGCAGTGTCTCTTTGCCAGACCAAGGCCACGTCGACATCGGTCCCTCTTGGTGGACGCGATGGTGGCCAATCGATGTTGTCATATCTGGTTTGGGGAAATGAGACGAGAGAAGAGAAGAAGAGGTCTCGAGGGTGGAGACTTCATCTGCATCAAGTGCACGAGCCTTCATCACCTGCCACACCACCTGCTTGTGACTTGAGACTCCACCTCATCGACGAGAACCTCAACTTCAAGGAGGTTCTAGCATGGACCGAAACTTAGGAGCCATCGTCCGGCTCACGACGTGAAAGAAGCGCTTGTTGGGAGGCAACCCAACCAGTCGGTTTGCATTTCTTTCTCTATTTATCCTCGGTTGAGTCAGTTTTGTTATTTGATTTTAGAGTCAATAACTCAACCTTTGTGAGATTTTGTTTGGTGTTTGTGTTCTGATTACTCTCTCTTCCTGGAATGCACCGCCTGACCCGTACATCATCATTCACCCTTGATCTGGTAACTTCGTTCTACCCTCCTTATCTTTCCTCCATTGAGGACAATGTCGTGCTTAAGTGTGGGGGGATGTTCGATTATGTATGCGGGTGAATGTTTAGCTGTTTGTGTGCATGGAGTCTAGTCCACTGTCCAAATTTTTTAATTTGAGGGCTCCAAGTACGTGTTCCTTGCAATTGCCTGCTCAGTATGCTTTGAATTGACAGTCTCTGTAGTGATTTGCAACCTAGGGAGGTAGTGTAGCACTATGGAGGATGTTGATGCATTTAAGAAGTCTCATTTCTTCTTCATATTGTGTTGGTTGATTGAGTGAATTAGTGATCTTAGGACCCTTGAATTGTGTGGTGTTGTAGACTCTCTGCCTGTCATGGACTCTTGTATCATGTTTTGGAAATAACAGGTGCTCGAAATTGTGCTTTAAAATAACGTCTCCCGTGCGAATAGGGTGAAAGTGTGTAAGGGGAGACGGGAATCCGTTCCCAATTTCCACCTACTACCTCCAGCCTCCTTACATGTCTTTCCCCCGCACGAGGCTCGAGACAACTGCTCCTGGCATGGCCGGTAAGAGCCGGGCTCCCGCAAAACCTTTGCTAGGTGGGAGCCCCCGTTTTCTGCAGAAACAGGTTGGAACCCGTGGAAAAAAAGAGAAAAACAGAAAAACAAGCAAAAAGAAGAGAAAAAAAAGGGTTCCAACCATGTTCACAAAGAAAATCGAGCACCTTGAATTAATGTGAGTCCATGATCTTTTGTTGTGAGAGTCTCTTCATCCACGATTCATTTGTCCTCTGTTCACTATTTACCATGATGCCGACTCGGGACTAGTGTTCTCGCCGAAGAAGCTATGAGATGACTTGTGCGTCGGTTGACCTCGTAAGCTGCTAAATGATATAGGACGTCCGCTACCTACGATCGAGGTTGTTTGTTGCTATAGAGGTCTGGAGAGTTGCATTGGTTTGAGTTAGGTTTGCTTGGGGACAAGCAAACGGTTAAGTGTGGGGGAGTTTGATAGACCGATAATTACACATGTTTTCACCCCTATTCTGAAGCCGTTTGTGATGTGGAATCTCGTGTTTTAAGCCGATTTCACGCTAGGTTGTGTGTTTATGTCATATTTCAGGACCCGATGTTGGAATCGAGGCGGAGAAACGAGTTCTGGGTCGAAAGGAGCCGAGTTGGGACTAAGGGGGCTGCAGGAGGAAAATACCCGGTCAGGTGGCAAAATACCCGACCGGGTATTTATCATTTTGGGCACCCGTGAGAAACAGAAGGGGGCCCGGGCAAATGGCTAAAATCCCCGGTCGGGGATTATTGGAAGAGACCGGGGATTTTCCCTGAGGCCGAAACGGTGCGGTTCAATTATACCCGGTCGAGACCCAAAATACCCGACCGGGTATTTCGACCGGGGATCGCGAACGCAGGTTGTTAAAAGCCTGTTTTGTGCGTTTTTGAGGGGGGAGCTGGGTTTTGGATTCCAAACACCCTAGGGACGAACCAAAGAGAGAGAGAGCGATTTGAGGGCATTCTTGGAGTGGAATTGGAGGGTTTCTTCGCCTTGGAAACTCGAGGAACAAGCCCGGACTTGAAGACTGATCATCTGAAGATTCTTACTGCAGTCTCTCTCTTCTCTATGGAGTAACTTCCCTTCACTTAGGTTTTGAGGAACCCTAGCCATGTTTGTTTGATTGGATGATTGTATGAGTACTCTGACTTGATAATCTTGAGTTCGTATTCAATCTATGCATGTTTTCACGATTCAATTCTGCTTTAGTCGAGATTATTGATTCTGCTTTGATCCTATGAGAGCGAATACCTGATTAGGTCAATAGAGCACCATAGATTGATAGTAGTGGATCGATTGCTTTAGTCGAGGGTTGATTCACTGCTTTGTATCGATTGAGAACCTCTTTCGATAGAGGGAGTCTAGTTCAGAACGCCTTGATCGATTGTTCTAGAGAAGGATACGTCCCTCTAGGCAATTGACTCAAGAGGGCCTTGTTCCTTTAGTCGAGACTCAAGGTCTAGTCAAGGATTCTCCGCATTGTGAATGAAGTGAAACAAGTTAGAAATCATCGATCGTTAATCTGGCTAGTGGCTAGGGGGAATCATACCTAAGTGAGTTCCCAACCTGTAATTAGATTAACTTTAACTGTAGTTTGCTAGAGTAGTTTTAGTTCTTCCATATTAATCTGTTTTGCTAGATAATGAACTGAAGCTGAGTAATAGTAACTCTAGAGACCCGTGGATTCGATATTTATTACTTGAGCCACTATTCTACAGTCCCTTTCAGTGGTTACACTTGGCCATTGTTAGGAGTTGTGTTTTAGCGAGTCATCTATTAAATATTAAATGAGAACATATTAAAGGCTTTACAAAAAAAAGAGGTGACTGATGTAACGGATTCCGGTAGGATTATGGTTAGAGGTGGCAATTTTAATCCAATCCACCAATCCAATCAATCAATTCATTAAAAATATCCAATTAATCCAATCCATTTAAATCTAATCCAATTGGAACGTGGAATCTGCGTCAAATGTTGAACTAGACGCCACATCTTTGAGAATTTGGAAGTATTCTTCTTCAGTCTTGGCGCCAGCTAAGAGAGCGCTGATTGAGGATTTTGTTTGCAAAAATTGCGTTGATGATTTTTTGATAACTTTGGACAATTCAGGATTGTTATTGAACCATTGGAGGACTTGAGGTTTGTAATCTTGTTTTGGGCGAGGATTTGCAGCCGGCTAAAAACTTTTCTTTCCAAAATGGTTGATTACCATCTTCTCTTTGCATAACCCTAGTTAAAAAGGTATCTTTGTACAATCGGAAGTCATGGAACTTTTTACAACGAAGATTAGAAAGTAGTTCGGCATTTTTATCTTTAAGATGTGAAGGATCTCCAATAAAATGTTTTGAAATGGCAAAAATCAGGGATGCAACTGCATCTTGAGAAGATTGATTATTGAAGCTTCAACTTCCTCAACAATTTCCCCTTCTAAACTAATTCTTTCAAATACTCAAACGCCAAGTGGCATCCTATTCCTACCCACACCCATCTCTTCCGAAGAAACCAAACAAATCTATCAGCAACATCATCTTGATGTCGCACCTACCTCAACAGAGGTGGCATCTTCGATAGCCCCTCTCAAAACCGTTTTTTCCCAAAACCCAATAGGTGGTAGTTGTCCAAGCCCCTCAAAATCGATTTCAAACGTATTTTAAGAAAAACACTTTTCAACCCATTTTCGTTGTCGAAGATGGTTTCTACCATCAATATCCAAATGTTACTGCCAAACATTTCCTCAATGAGTGGTTCTTCAAACATCTTAATCTATTTCTTGAAGTCACTCGATGTAACGGTCTGGCTGTCTCTAAACCAAAATTTTGTCTTTTTCAAACTAAGATACGATTTTTGGGTCACTACATTAGTCAAGGAACAATTGTTCCAATCGAAAGATCTCTTCAATTTGCAGATAAATTTCCTGATCAAATTTTAGACAAAAATCAATTACAACAGCCCAATTGGATTTGTGGATTAATGGATTAGATCTATGGATCATTGGCAAATTACAATTTAGTACCTATAATTTTTATTTTTTACATTTTTGCACATAAAATTCTATTTTTATAGGAAAAGTATCATTGGAAAATTATGTTTTGGTACCTAAAAATTTTATTATGACATTTTAGTACCTAAACTTCTCACATTTTACATATTGGTCCTTGGTTGAGGATGTTATTTGGATTCATGGATAATCCACCAATCCATTTGATCCATGGATCCACCAATTCAATCTATTTGCCACCTCTAATTATGATTATTGACATAGAGTTGTGTACAAGATCTGTTCCCAAAATATGTGTATTATTTGTTATAAAATGATTAGCCGCTTCTGATTAAGAAGAATTTCTCTTATATTCCGTTTCTTCGTAGGAAGTGTAATCCCTTCGCCATTCCTCTAACTTTTATGTATAAATAAATAATTTCCCTACACAACAAAAGAAGAAAATTTGCATATTACTTGTTGAGGGCCGAATCAATTCGCAGAGAGAGATTAGATTTTATTTTTCGCCAAAATTGTGCCTTTGGCGAATTTTCGCTGCGTCAAAAGGCCTCTCCTCTCTCTTGAGAAAGTTTTTCATTTACGAACAGAAAAGCTAGAAAACCCCAACCCTCTCTCTCTCTCTCTCTAGAACGTTTTCCGTATTATTTCTCCGCCTCCCCGACTCAACTCTGCCCTTTCTCCCTGTCTCTCTCCTCTCTTCCAAGCTATCCGAAGTCCCTAGCATGTCGTCGTCTCAAGCGAGCCTCCTCCTCCAAAAACAGCTTAAAGGTAAATCAATAAAGCTGTTCAATTTTCTTTACTTTTTGCCCTGTTTGGAAATTTCTGTGCTGAGAGCTTGTTCTCGAGCTGGATTTGGATCGGCAATCTATTGATCGTGCTCTGTTCGGTGCAGATCTTTGCAAGAACCCCGTGGATGGGTTCTCGGCGGGGCTGGTCGATGAGAAAAACATATTCGAATGGAGTGTTACAATTATTGGGCCGCCGGATACGCTTTAGTACGTCTCTCTTCCATTAAAGTTTCTGTATTTTGTTCCCTTTCCTGTGATTGAGAGGATTCAGGGTGTCTAGATTGAATTGGGAGATTCTTTTTGTTTTTGGGGATTCGTTTTAGGGTTTTGGCTTAATCAGGAATTGCTTCGTCTCTTTTGCTGCTTATTTGGTTTGTTATTGTGCCTTTGTGGGATTAATCTTTTGGTTTAATCATCTGGCAGTTCAATTCACTGCTGCCCTTCTTTTGGATCCTAAAATTTGGTTATGTTTTTAACTAGGTCTTATTTGTTCCGTGGTTATCTGTACTTGCTATTGTTACTGCCCGCTTGGTGAATTCTCTGAATGGCAATAGAATTCTTTCAAGACTGCTGCCTTGTTGCCGTGTTTATAAGTTTTATTATCTTGTCTTGTAAACCAACTTCCCGACCTTTGTCTTGATTCTTTTGGATTCGTTTCACTAGCTACTGAAGCTTTTCATTTGGCGAACTGATCGTTTTGTTTGGTTTTTACTTGCTTACATCATGTGCTGCCTGATGATATTTGCTTATGTGATGTTTGACTTATTACTTACTCCTTCTATTGCAGTGAAGGGGGATTCTTTAATGCCATCATGAGCTTCCCTTCCAATTATCCAAACAGCCCTCCAACAGTGAAGTTCACTTCTGAGCTATGGCATCCTAATGGTTGGTACTTGTTATACATTTATCGCTAGCTTTTGTGAGTTTGTAGCATGTCGAATAAAGTTCAATTGGTTGCATAAATGGCAGTTTACACCGATGGGCGTGTGTGCATATCGATTCTTCATCCACCTGGTGATGATCCCAATGGTTATGAGCTTGCAAGTGAACGCTGGATGCCTGTTCATACGGTATGTACAGTTGCTTTTGCAACGAGTGATATCTTTTTGCTCTGGTTTTGGAAAGGAACTTCAATGAAAAGCTAAGAAGTAAGGTGAATAGACAAGAAATAAGAAAATGCTGGCTGTTGTGGGCAATGCACTGTTCAGGGGGGTGTTTCTAGATGAAAGTAAGGAATTCTTGCGCCTCACGGACACAGGAAAGATAAAAGCTGAGGCTGCCATGCCTGTTTTTGTAATAAATAAATAATGGCCAGTGAAAGTGGGGAGAGTGTTTAGGTTCCTACTTTGTAATGAAGAGGAGAATATTGTTGACCATTTGTATTGTGTGTGCATTCTAAGAAGTGTTCTAAGGGTCGTAGTTGTACTGATGTCTTCCCTTCTATATGAACCATTTTAGTGGAACAGCTTAGATGGAATCTGTTCTGGGGACTGCCGTGTTTTTGTATCTTTCTGTTTTTCTACTTGATCGCTGTTGGATTTTCTGTTGTTTTCTGTCAGGTTGAAAGTATCGTGTTGAGTATTATATCTATGCTGTCAAGTCCTAACGACGAGTCTCCTGCCAATGTTGAAGCAGCGGTAAGTCATAGTTGGCTGTCCCTATGTGTATTCTTGATGAAGCTTGTCATGTTTTGCCATTTCTTTTCCGACATTATGATGCCAATGCTCCTACCTTCAAATCGAGATTTTTGCGGGGATCATAATGCACTTCAAGCGAATGATATTGAATTATCTTTCGGGAGGCAGAACCTTTTTTATGTTTTAAAATTGGATGCATCGACTCTTGGTTCATTAAGTTTTGTACATCTTAAGAATGCATTTTGGGGCACAACTCTACCCGTGCTATCACGGAATCTAGTTACTTAGATGCATCCTTGGAAATGTTTGTATTGTGCTCATTGGTCAAATCGTTAATCAGCCTCACTTCCTTTCCCGTTGCCGGCATAGGGTATGCACATATGGCTGCTGCCCGTCTTTGTGCTGTCCTGCAAATGTTTAGAGGCTTGTAGATCCCTGGACATAGTATGCCTGGAGTGTAGTAGCTCCTGTGCATGCACTATATGATGTAGTGGTGCCAAGATAAAACTTTGAGCCAGGAGTGTGTTGCATGCACAACTGCTTTAACTGCAGTTATAGTTTCTGCATGTTAAGACATTCGGGATTGTTGCAGATATGATATCCTGACCTGGTGAATCTCATTTTATGCAGAAAGAATGGAGGGAGACGAGAGACGAATTCAGGAAGAAAGTGAGCCGCTGCGTTAGAAAATCACAAGAAATGTTTTGATCGTTCGTCCTGTGAAGAAGATCTTCTCTGCTGTGTACCAAGCCAAAAAAAAAAAAATTGTCTTAATTCATTTTGGGTTTCGTGGTTGGGTGGGTGGGAAGGACACGAGTGGCCAGGAAGGAAATTGGATCATATTGTCTGCCTTATCTGTTATCCTTACGTAGAATGCCACTCGAATTCTCAGCTCCCCTTTAATCTTTGTGTTTTTTGTGTTGCTTGTTACGGTTTTTGCAATGGGGGATCGGAGTGGGGTTTTACAAACTCGAAAGAAGTCGACTTTTTCTCTGCATTTTTGGATACTTTCCCAATACGAACACCCATGTCCCAGACTCTGGAATTGCTCTTCCATTTTCCCTCGTATCTATCTACACATTTGACTGATTTGGTTCTGTATATGTTTGATCATTGAACTGTCCAGAGAAAGGGAAGTAAACAGAGTTCATCAGTGAACTGAGATTGGACTTATTGCAGGAAATAGACGAACAGAAAGAAAAGTAAACAGGTTTTCTCGTTTGAGGTTTGAGCGGAAATGAAAGTGAACATGGCCCTTAGCCTCTCTGGCGTCATCATTTCGTCTGTTTGGCGACGTTGCTCCCCATTCTGACGACGTTCCCATCGATATCACGAACGTACCCAACCCTCTGCGCCCACTCCTTGTCCTCCGGCGGGCTCACCGCCGTAGCTCCGTTCTCCACCGCCCTCTGCGAACCGGAGATGGCCAAAAACATCAATCAACAACAACAAAAAAAAACAGAACACACGGCTCGGATGAAGATCAAGAAGCCAAGGCGGACAACGACAACCTTGTACGCAGCATCGACATCGGCATAGGCGAAGCAGACCTCCATTGGAGGCCGCTCGTCGCCGGACTTTGGGGTACGGACCTGTCCGGTTCTGTCGTCGGTCTCGTGCTGGTGGATCGGAGTGAAAGCGATCGTCGTCTGCCCGCTCTCCAGCTCTCCCCATCTGATCACCTCACAACATCAATCAATCAATCAATCAACAAATCTAGGAGAAGATCTCTTCACATGCATAGAACTCAAAGTTGTTGTCCTGGTGCCATCGGTGGATGACGAAAGCAATTAGCCAGATGGGTACGGAACCTGTGAGAATCGTCGAGGCGGCGAACATGGTAACCGAAAGCTTTGGCGTAGAATTCAACGGATTTGGCTACGTCCTTGACGTACACCACCGTGTACGCAAATGCTGGGCGGAGGTCCGACGACGCCATTGATTTCGTCAATTTTACCCTTCCCTGTTTCTGCGCTGGATCTGTTCGGTTGCTTCTGGTTTTTTTCTAGCAGTTAAGTCCCTTCTTTTTTATTACCTTTTCTTTAGTTAACAGAAACAGTTCTCAGATCAGGAGCCGGCTATGTTATAGCGTGTGTGTTCAACTGAGATGGATTGTTTCACACGTGGCGACCTTCGGGGGCTACACGTGGGCTTCATGCACAAATGCAAGAATTTCCCCGTTTTCTCATTCATGGTCAAGGTTGTGAGTCCGGCTTCGTCCATTGACCCTATCGAATAAGCGAGTAAAGGGTTGGATCTAGAAGTAATTGGATTGGTGGATTCATGGATCAATCCATGGATCCAAATGACAAATTACAATTTGGTACTTATATTTTTTATATTTTACATTTTGGTACCTAAATTTTATATTTTTATGCAAAAAATATCATTGGAAAATTACATTTTGGTACCTAACATTTTTCATTATGACAGTTTAGTACCTAAACTTTTCAAAATTTACATTTTGGTCCAAGCCTTGGATGTTATTTGGATTCATGGATCAATCCACCAATCCATTGGATCCAATCTATGAATCCACCAATCCATGGATCCACGGATCCACGAATCCGATCAAATTGCCACCTCTAGTTGGATCGATTTGTGCCAATTTAGCATTGGTCGGGAAAAATGGATTAGTTATATTGTGCACATCAACTCTCATCTAAAATATAGTAAGACCATCAAACATTTATCAAAATTATAATTTATGCTTGAATACATGCAACTTACGAGGACTCATCACAAATCTACTATAGTCAATTAGTCAGGCTATAATAAAGTTTACTATAGACAATGTCTTAACCACTAAATGCTAAACTTGTATAACATTTTCTATAAATATTTTGATAATCGAATTGATAAGTAGCTAAGTATATCATCTACAATATGAAATAACTTGTCTTTGAGATAGTTTGAGTGACGGGTGGATAATGATATGTTAAAGATGAAGGGGTCAAAATTGCGTGCTAGTTAACCACGATCGTATCCCGTTAAGCCCATTTTAATTTCACTACTCATATCGTGAGTATATTTTTCTTGTTTGAAAATTTGGGGTCGTTTGGAGGTTGAGATTTGAAGTGAGGTATTTAGCAAATATATGTAATGATAAGATTAAGTTGTTTTTTTTGTTCACTTTGAGTTAGAATGCATGCATTACCTTTTTGTTGGGCCCACCTACAATCACTCAAAATGAATGATTATAAATCTCTACTAAAAGGTGAGATTGTTAATGAAGGATTGTCTACCCTACTTTTTGTTTCATCATTGCTCTTCCAAACAAAATATTTTCCTAATACATGCATTGAATCAATACATCAAATGATAATACACTAATTGACCTAATACATCAATTTGAAGAATCACAATTTCCAAACGACCCCTTTGAGGTTTTGGTCCCTCGAGCTTTATAAACGTTTTGTAAAGGAAAAGGTGCAGAGAATGAAAATACATTAATGTGAAAGAGGAAGGACAATAAAGGGAGACGTTGTATATGCAAATCTCCTCCAAGAATTTTCTAAGACGCGTATAAGAAGGATAAGCAACATTTATACAACTTATTAAAGGAATTCACACGGATTGCTCAACTCATTATGCTTAAATATCTTACCATCTACCCGCAGATGTCTCCTTTGGAGATAGACTTGGGTGACACGTGGGTCGATCAACTAGTCATGCTTGCCATGGTTACCCTTTTGCATATATCGGCTGGCTACCAACCCGTGTATTGCTTTTGGTATGCAATGAACCATGTGGACTTCTTTATTACAATCCATCTACATGAACACATATATAAATATAATCTAAACCAATAACATAATGAGATGAAAAACACCCAATCATACTATATTTATATTAAGAATCAACTATATATTTGGAAGTTGTGATTGTCAAATAGATATATTATTGTGAATGCATGTATAATATTATACATGCTTTATAAAATACAAGATTTGGTATGTGTTATTGTGTATGTCACATCAGCTAAAAACTAAGACAAAACAGTCCGAACTCAACTATTTCAATAATTATAGCTAAAAGCTGAGATATAACAATCACTCATTTTGAGTGATAGTTTCTGTAACATAACAGAACCAATCCATGTATTGTTTCCGCTAAAAAATAAGAAAGAAATGATTCATTCTAAACAATACATGTATAGTATCTCACCAAAACAATCGCAACTTCTAAACGACCCCATGGTCTTTGGAACCTCTAAGCTTTTCAACCGATGCAACTTTTTATTAGTAGCTTCATCTTCTTAAAATAATCATACATGTTATTAGAGCCTTATCGAAGAAAATGAAGAGCTCGATGCATCTCACGTTGATAGTAGTCTGGAACAAATCGATCTCTCATGATTCCCCTCATGTCTTCCCAAGTCTCTATGGGATGCTGCCTGTTCCATCTCCTATTGGTGCATAACTGATCCCACCACACCATAGCATGACCCGTGAATGATTATTTTAAGAAGCGATTTGCACATTTTCCAATCTAAATAATAATAATGTGCTAAGAAGACGCATTGGGGTTGGTTGTCCCCTTGAACGACGGAATGGTGACTTTGATCCCCCTCAACACGTCCTTATCTTGATGTCGACGTGAATTCCTTTTAGGATTGCAAGGCACTCCCAAAAGGCTGATGTCGTCTTATTCGCTCTATTCTTGAATTTCAAGCAAACCAAACCTACTTCAAGAAACCTTCAAGTACTTCAAGAAATGTCCAAGATCTTCAAGACACGTCCAATATATTCTAGAACGCATCCAAGATCTTCAAGAACACGTCCAAGAACCTTCAAGAACACGGAAAGAACTTCAAGAAACTCCAAGATCTTCAAGAACTCGACCGAGAAGCTTCAAGAACACGTAAAGAACTTCAAGAAACTCCTTCTTTTTCGCTTTGTTTGAACCGGACTCTTGATACCACTAGATATGATCCTAATTCGAGAATCCTCCCAAATTCATACAAAAAACCAGAGTTGCACAACGTCTTATGATTTAGGGCTTTTCTCCTTTTTTGATAACACGAAAAATAAAGATAACTTGCGGAAATCGATCACACATATCCAAACTCGTGAGAAGGGTCAATTGGTATATGAAACCAATCAAACAATCTCGAACCCGTGGATAAGGCCAACCGATATCGTCGAACTCGCCACAACTAGATGTGATCTTCTAGTTGATAAGAGATACTCAAACCTATGGAATCCTCAAAGAAGTTTTAAGCAAAACGTTCACTGGAACTTGAAAACACTTGAATTGATTATTGAAAACTTGATGAAAAATACATAGGATTTGCCTTCCTTATATAGGCAACGAAAATCCAATCCAAAACTAAGAAAGAAAGCTAAAATCCTTAACTAACAAGTAAACAAAGCCCTACAAAAAGTTTGACGTGTGCAACTCTAGTTGTTGATCCGAACTTGAGTGGATTCTCGAATTAGGGTCATATCAATTGGAGCTTCTTCATCAAGGATGAGAGAGAGAGCTACGAGCTAAGGAAGAATGAAGAATGAAGAAGAATTTCACCTACCCAAGACTAGAGGAAGGTTGATTTCTTCTGCAAAGGTTGAATCAAGCATCTAAGAATAATGAAGATTATCTTATTGTGGGTTTTTCTTCTCTCTTAGTTGTATTTTCCCCTCTAGCTATGGAGTAGTCTCCAATTCCACTTGGATATTGTGAACCCTAGTCTAGGATGTGTTAGATTGTTTGAATTGAACTCTATGTGGGTTGGGTTTGTGATTAAATAATGTTTGAGGTATTATTCATGAAATTTGGGTGTTTATTGCTCATATCTCAATTTTGGGACTAGTTGACCTAGAAGGAGAAAATCCCCTTATAGCCCAATCTTGGCAATTTGGCTAACCTACTCTAGGGTATTTTGGCCATTCCTCGTTCATCAAATTAGTGGCATCATATAGTATTGTTTTGGTTGCTTTTTGTCGTTCTGGATTATTTCCGAGGGATTGATTTTGTAAACCTTGGTCAATCAATGAAGAGGCTTAGTGTTTCCTATCTAATGGTGACAATCCTTAACCGATCAGTTGAGAGACTTGGGGTTTCCCTAGCTAGCTTGTGATCTCATATCGGTATATGATCCTACCTGTGAACTAGAGTTTTGTTCGTTGTATCTTGACATGAGAATGAGGGGAGCAATATCCGAGTGATCCTTTCTTAATCGATCTCACCAAAATTTACTTGCTTGTTTAATTTGTTTAGTCTTCTTAGCTTTAACTACATTTTGATCGCTAGATAACGTGTGAACAATTGAAGTAAGGGTAGATAGACCGTCCGGGTTAATATTGAAATACGCAACCTATCCTACATCCTCTATAGGCTTCACTTGGCCTATTGTTGGGATTAAGCGTAGTGATAGCTCGAGTCAAAACGGGTGCAAAACCCGTAGTTAAAAAGAAGGAGAGTGGCACCAAAAGATCAATCTTGTTTTGTCCCGAAGGAAGGACAATATAAAGGAGAAAGCAAGTGGCCATGAGGGCCATCCTCTGGAAATGGTGATTCAAGGTGAAAAGCCTCGCCCCGAGATTATGGTGGATCCACTCACGGTGGCTTCATATTGTCAAGCATGACGATCCATAACGTCTAGCTAAGGACGTAAAACAAGCGTTTGTTGGGAAGCAACCCAGCGTCAGTTTGTATTGAAAGCATTGGTGCTTCCAAGTATAAGTTGAATTTGTACGGAAATATTAAGAACATCGATTTGAACATATAAGAGGAGTGACGAGTATGTTAAAAATACGCATAAATTTTGTTATGAGACTATTTAGAGATGATTGGATCGACTTGTCTCATTGCATAAATTTTTTTAGGCTTTTTTTTTTTTTTTTGAAAGGTGATTGGTTGTTTCATTCATACGAAACACGGCGTACAGAGTTTGAATAAACACTGAAAGGAAGGAAAGCCTACTGAAAAAGAGTAAAACAAAAGTTGGTATTTACAAAGGCCCAAAGCCACGAAGCCCAAAGCCCACCCCTATCAACCCTAAAACAGTCGGCCCTATCACCCAGAGATGGTTGTCGCTGACATCCCCCACTCCAGAAAGGCGCCGCCTTCAAAAATCCTACCAGAGCACAAGTCCTTCGACGGTGAACGACGGAGAAGGAGGAAACGGCCTTCAAGCGTTTGCAACAGCATCTGAAGGACGGAGCTTTAGCAAAACAAAGAAGACAACAAACCAGACGGGGAACCAGACCCAAAGCAGCTCCATGATCCACTTGCACAACAAATAAATCAGAATAGCAGCCCTGAGATCTTGACAGAGGAGTGGCGATCGAGTCTCCACTAATCTGAGCATACGACAAGAATCCATCCACAGAAGTGATTTCCCTGCTCACAAGCTCTCCGAACCTTCATCCTAGACAACATGGTCCATGCATCTCCGAATCACCCCCAGTTCTGGATGAAGCATGTGGAGGTGGATGGAAGAAACATAAAGGAGCAAGCGAACTGGAAAAAAAAATCAGCCCCCTCAAACACCTACCAGCGGATCATCCACACAAATCTGGAAACCAGTTTGGCGGGAACAAAAACATCTCAACAAGGAGACAAGAAAGGCATCACCACAAGGGTGGGAGGAGATCTGAAAGAGAGGAAGCACGAAAGTAAACACAGGCAAGAAAAAAAACCCCACCAAAATGCAGAAACAAAGCCCATGGGAAGAGCAAACGATGAAGAAAGAAGCAAACATAAATAAGTGAAGAGTATTAGGGCTACCGCCGGCCCCAAAATGAAACCGACGGCAGCCCCATTCAAGATCTGGAACTTGGGCTAGAGAGAGTAGAGAGAAAAGGGAAAGGTAGAGAGAGAGAAAAGTTGCAATCAAAATCACACTTGTTTAAGAGCTCATGTTTTTACGCTTCTAGGTCGCCAAAATGCTTCTATGTAGAATGACACTTTTCACTTACAAGTGCAGTCAAAATCTACGTTTTAAAGTTTAAAAGCTAACGGTTTATACTTCTAGGTCACCAAAATGGTTCTACGTAGAATCGCGCTTTCGACTGCATTGTTTTCAAGTATAAGTGAATTTGCACAGTAACGAAATGTACAAGTTTAGTTTATATCATAAAGGAATTTGTAAGAAAAAGATTGTATCATAAGATTAAGGTACATGTTCAGTTTTTACCATAAAAAGTACGAAAAAGTATAGGTACAAACTAAATTTGTACCATAATATAAAAATTAAGGTACATATTTAATTTGTTTTGTTTAATAAAATTGAAAGTATAGCGAGTGTGATTTGACTTTGTTTAATTCTTTGTCCATTTCTACTTATGTTAGTAATTACGCATATATCTTTATGACACTTCTAACAACAACAAATAATTATTTTTCTAATTGTGTTTTGTAATATTTGAACCTATAATTCTTTTTAAATTTATTTTGTATCGAATAAATATTATTTTCGTGCCATGTTCGTTCTTATACTCAATAAAGTCTCGAAAATATTAGGTCCGACACGGCCCACTTATATACCGTGTTGTGCTCGTGCTCGTGCTCGTGCCCGTGTCCGTGCTCATGAAGTTTAGGTCCGGCACGGCCCATAAATTATTTGTGCTCGTGCCGGGCTGACCCATTTATTTCGTGCCCATACTCGTGTCGTGCTCTAACCGTGTCGTGCCATGCTAGCCCGTGGGCGGCACGGCCCGGTGCCCACGTACAATCTGGTTTCATGTCTAACCGTAAAAAATTGTTCGATCCATCGCAAACAATGCAAGCAAAAGAACCATATCACTATTGTAACTGGTTTGATAGTTCTACTTATCCAACCGCTTATCCCATTCGGTTCTTATACCAATGCTATTTATTATCAAACAATCAATCGTCAGTAACTTTATTCCATTAAGTTTTCTAAATCCGTCACCTTAAATATTAAAATACTATTAGTACAGATACAGATAATTTTCTTTAATGGAATATACGTTATAGTATATCATTAAATAGATGACAATATATTACATTTACATTCACAAACACCAAATTCCAGGAAAGGTAAAACATTAATATATTTTTATTATTATTGTCAATTTTGTTAAATGAGTTGCGGGAACTGTCAGCTGGGAATTGAAGAAGTTTCCCTACACCGGATGCAGCAGGCACCAGTTACCAGTGAATTGAGGTAACGGAGGAGCTACTGGGAATTGAAGCGCTACTAATCAAATCATAATTAGCCTCTGGCTCTGGAGAAGAAACAGACCCTACTACACTACCATTTCGCAACTTTGACGAATCTTTTCTTTCAATTTTCTTCCTTATTTCCTCAGGAACCAAACGTGATTCTGAAGGGTCCGGATTTTTTCCCAATTAATTTTTTTTCCTTTTTGGAATTCCGGGTTCCGCAAATCTTCTTCCAACCAGTAGGGGTTTGCACCATTTTCTTTGTATTATATAAATAGCTGCCACCTGATTTTGTGGATCACACTCAAAACAGGGATCAAGCACAGAGAAATAGGAGGAGAAAGAAAGGGCACAAGGAGATTGATTTGAGTGAGTCTTGTTCTGGTCTAAACTATTTTGTCAGGTGTTGCAGCAAATCAAGTGCGTTTTTTTTTTTTTTTGTGGCTTTTTGATTTATGTTTATCTTCTGTGTTAATCATCACTCACTCTCCCCACTCTTTTCTCTAAGAAAATTTGCCCTGTTTAACGGACAACCAAACAACCCCCTTTTGGTGTTTGAATTGCGTCAGGTTATTGAGATCTGAGAGATTAAAAGAAATGGCGACTGATTCAGCTAATGGACAGCACCAAGGAACAACCAAACTGCCTCCACAGCCTTCCCCGTTGCGTTCTTCCAAGTTCTGCCAGGTGATCTTGAAACGATTCCCAAATCTCAGCATTTTCTGTTAATTCTATTGATCAACCAAAGTTTGCATCTTTATGTGTCGTTGATCACTGGGTCGTTCTCAAAACGGGGGTTATCTGGTCTCCTGCAAAATCTGTTCATTCTATTGCAACTGCGTGTTCATTGAAGATCTCTACTAGGGTATTGGGAAATGGGAATCCATGTTGAGGAGCCTTTTCTCTAACGTTTGGTTTTAGAAAACGACTGTCTAATGTGTTAATGCATGTGGGACATTGGGGTAAAGTAAGTAGTGCAGTGGTCCAACTTCTGGGACAAATTTCATAATCAATCTTTGTGGATCTTGGTGGGTTTGTCACGGAGAAAAATGGAACTGGGATTTTAGAGGGGTGAAATTTCATTTTGGCCTCTGCCTTGTGGAATTTGTTGTTCTCTGTGTTTTTCTCAGAGATAGATGTCTAGTTATGAATGATCTGGTTGATCAAACTTATGCTCTTCATAATTGGAAGTGTGCACTTAAAAGGACAATACCTCTTTTTCAGCTTCTACTTACTCCTGGAGTAGGTCCAGTCTTGTCATTAAAGCAATTGTGATGTCGGTGGGATTGCTCCATAAGTAGTTCCCCTTATCCTTTGGCTTCTGATATAAATATAGTAGAGATCTTCCCTGCAACTCTGTTCCTGTTTTAGCTGAGATATATTGTGGCAGGTTCCTAACATTTGATTTGGAATATATTTGTACATGCTGAAGGTTATGGTTTTTCATGACACTATGCTTATTTGACCATTGTTTAGTGCCCTGACCCTCTTTTCTTGGTTCTCTCGTTGGTTTTGTAACGATTGCTTCTTCCATGGCAGTCCAATATGAGAATTTTGATCACTGGAGGAGCTGGGTTCATTGGGTCCCACCTGGTGGACCGGCTAATGGAAAATGAGAAGAATGAGGTTAGCTTCAATTCTATGTGTGTTTTGAAATGACTAAAGTTTGTCCAAAAATAAAAGGCTGATGTTTCGCTTCAATTCTTTTTTGCTTATAGAAAGGTTGTATTGATCAATTCTCGCTGCAAGATAAATAGCTAATGGAATTGTACTAGCTAATTTCACAAGATTGTGCTGATAGAATGGCTATTCCCACATTTGATTCATGTTCAGGTAATTGTTGCTGATAACTATTTCACCGGATCTAAAGAAAATCTCAGGAAGTGGATTGGCCATCCAAGATTTGAGCTCATCCGTCATGGTAAGAGTCCTGATCCTATATTCTACATTTGAGATGTTGACATGCAGCAGTTCAAGTTAAGAGAATTATGGAAAATATCTGGCCTGGGTGTGTTATTTGGAATTGCAGAGTGTCTACTGATGCTTCATGTACATGTTCTTGAGAGATTCTTGTGTTGTTGACAATTATGGGGTCCTTAGTTCTGGGTTTTGAGCTTCTTAGGATTAGTCATAAATGCAGTGGTGCTTACATATTTGGTGCCTTTTGTACTTCCTCAGATGTCACAGAGCCGTTGCTGGTTGAGGTTGATCAAATTTACCATCTTGCATGTCCTGCTTCTCCCATTTTCTACAAGTACAATCCTGTAAAGGTGCGTAGTTACATTGTTTTTACGGCAAACAGTCCTTGTATCTCTGATTAGGCTTGAAGTGTTTTTCCTTGCCCTTCCTCACGTGCATTATCTGACTTTATAGCGTTAGCAAGTTGCTTATTCTTTTCCCTTCCTTCAAATGCAGTGATCATACATCTAGAGTATCTAATACATATTCATAATTGCTGCAACTTTCCTAGGCAAAGCTATGAAGTTTCACACTCCCTAACACCCGTGAACAGTAGATCAATGTTCTAGGTTGATTTCCATTATCTCTCTGATCATCCATGGAGTGATAAGTTTCCTGACCAATGACCCTTGAGAAACTGGATCTTTATTGAAGCCCAAGTTAACTAAGCAGTAGTCCTCATGATTAATCTTTGTAGCGAAGGTCCCAGTTATCCGTAATCTCTCTTTGTGACTGGCTATGTCTTCTTTTGTATTTTGTCTATATTTTTATTTTTCAGCAAGTAACTATGTCATTCTTTTGCTAACATAATATGTGGTATATTGAAACAGACGATAAAAACCAATGTGATTGGTACCCTCAACATGTTGGGCCTTGCCAAGAGAGTTGGAGCTAGGTTAGAAACAGTAAAAATTTATAATAAAGTGATCTCTACCAAACCTCAATCCTAATGTTGCTAATCTCTAATTTTGTTTGAGCAGAATTTTGCTCACCTCAACTTCAGAGGTGTACGGTGATCCTCTTATCCATCCTCAGCCGGAGACCTACTGGGGTAACGTCAACCCAATCGGTAAGAAGCTCAATCAGCTGCTAGGAAAATATTTCTTGATGGGCAAAATCTCATGCAATTTCCATTCCTCTAAAAAAAACTTGGACTGCCTGTGAGCTAGCTTATCATCTCCATTTTTTGGTATTTACAGGGGTCCGGAGCTGCTACGATGAGGGGAAACGTGTGGCTGAGACATTAATGTTTGATTATCATAGACAGCATGGGATTGGTAATGAAGTTTCCTTCTTTTGCACTGAAATATGCAGCATCACTGTTCTCGCTTCTTAACACCCGGTGTTACTATACTGCTCTTTTTAGAAATTCGAATTGCCAGGATCTTCAACACATATGGACCACGGATGAATATCGATGATGGGCGTGTTGTCAGCAACTTCATAGCTCAAGCAATTCGGTAAGTTCTTCCACCATCCATGTTTTGCTTTCACGGACTAGCTGTCCTCTCTTTTTTTCACCCTTCTAATCAATTGTCTTGCTTTTATTCCAGTGGCGAGGCATTGACAGTGCAGAAGCCTGGAACCCAAACCCGCAGCTTCTGCTATGTATCTGACATGGTATAAACAAGATGAATTCTACTAATGAAATGTAACACCAATTATCTAAATGGTTTTGTCGTGGATGCATGATATTCACCTGCCTCATAATCTTCATTTTGGTAATAATCACGTCAAGACAATGTTAATCATCACTTATAATATGATGTGCAAGAAAATGCATGAATTTGCAAAAAATCATTCTATATTTACTTTGATTTGAAGGGTTTAAGAATTTAGGATTATGCTTCAGGGTTAGAATTTAGGGTTCAGGGTTAGTTTCAGAATTTAAGGTTCAGTGCTTAGGAAAATGCATTGATTAGTTGTAATCCTATTATTAGCTAATGCTACCAATTAATTTTCAAAATTTGATATCTCAAGCCTAGTTTTAGAACTTGAGTGCATAGTATGCGCTATTTTTTGTGAGTGGACTATAGAAGTCATCCATGGCCTAACATTTGATAATGATAATTATATAATAGGTTGATGGCCTCATCAGGCTGATGGGAGGAGAAAACACTGGACCGATCAACATTGGAAACCCAGGTTAGTTTACTCATCATCAATGACTCCACAACCAAGCTGACGCACTTCCCATCATTTCTTCCCATGAGTACTGATTATTTCCTATCAACTTCCAGGGGAGTTCACCATGACCGAACTCGCAGAGACAGTGAAGGAGGTAAGCGATCAGAGTGGAGGTGTTTCTTGATTTGTGGTGGTGACTGGTTTCTTATGGAGCAAATGATGTGTTGTAAATGCACAGCTGATAAACCCCGAGGTGGAGATAAAGATGGTGGAGAACACACCAGATGATCCAAGGCAGAGAAAGCCCGACATCACAAAGGCCAAGGAGTTGCTTGGATGGGAGCCTAAGGTGAAGTTGAGGGAGGGACTTCCCCTCATGGAACAGGACTTCCGTAACAGGCTTGGCGTCCCCAAGAAGTGAAGAAGAGGATTTAAGAGAAGAGAAACAAGACACCATAAGACAGACTGAAGAAAGTTATTTTATTGAATGATTATATCATTTTCAATGAGATTTCATTTCTTTATAGGCTCTTTTTGTTTTTGTTTTTGTTTTTTGGGGTTCAAAGGTGGAGAAAGATTTTGGTTTTTGTTGCTGACAGTTCTGGTCTTCTGGATGGAGATCAAATAAATTAGAGCGGTTTCATTTCAGTATCTCATATTGAGAGTAGCTAACTTTTGACGAATTGTCGGTTATTATTTTTAATTAAATATTTGAGTTTGGGTTTAGAGAGCTTATGTAGGGGTTTATAGATTAGATATTAGAGTATATTATCCTAACTCAAACTCTAGTTAATTCATGATTTATATAAAAATATTTGACAAATGAGCTCGTAGGCAGCTCACTGCTCGTGGAGCTATTAGAGATGTCTAAGTTAGCTCATGGTGACTCAAGTAAGCTAAAAATATAAGGTGAAAAAAACCAAAAAAAAATTAAGTGTTCTGTGTTGATTTGACATTGACCGTTAGTCAACGCGTTTGACTGTTTAAGATAACGATCAAATTTTGATTTGGTTAATTTCGTAATTTTGATGCATAGTTAAGGCTACGAAGTTATAGATCAAAGCGACAAGATGTTTAATTTGTGAAAAGTTCGAAATATACAAATATATTAATTCCTAGATTACTATAAAAAATTCAAATATAAACAGTAAAATTGGAATAATACAAAAGAAAAATTCTAAATTATTATAAACACCTCTTTCTTTATTATTTTCTTTTTATGTGGGCTTTATTCTTTTCTTTTTTCTAAACTAATTACACAATAGACAATGTCATCTAATTTTTCTCTATCGTCTTGCAACCCAATTTGGAGATCAAGTGAAATAATAATTTTGCACTCAAACAAACTATTCAACAACTTTCAAAATGGGTGAAAATTCATTGGGACTCCCATTCACCCCTCTTTTTGCACTCCTCTCATTAATCCATCTTCTCAAACATAGTGCTATTTACCATTCGTGTTTGGAATGCGTCCAGAATGATATTAAGGGGTCGTTTGCTTGAGGGTTTTGGTGATGGATTTGGTCATGGAAATATATCCATCATGGACTTGAACCGAAATCCATCGTTTGTCTTATGGAATTAGGGAGATGGAATTTGTGGGGCCCACCACTTTTGGGGTTCCAAATCCGTGGACCCCACGGACTTGGAAGTTCCACCTCTTGAGGTGGGATTTGGGTGATGGATTAAAATCCATGATGGTAAATTACCTTTCTACCCTTAATTATTTCTTTGATTACAAATTTGTCCTACTTTAATTCAATGGTCATGCAACTATAAACTTTTATAATTTCGTATTTTATAAATATGAGAATTTATCATTTCATTTTGTAATATCGTATTTTATTTAAATATGAATGTATATGTGATTTGTTAGATTCACCTAGAAACACTTTATGCTCATCTTGTACATTATTATTTGATTGATTGTCGGATTCCACATCGGTGAGTTAGCAAGAAGATGATGAGTTGTAGCAATAAAGCGAGCAATTGGTTGCAATTGATACATAATATTGCGTACATTATTAGATGAATTATTTTTTTTATGAAGGATTATTAGATGAATTTTTAATTAGTGCCAAGATGAATTGTTAATTAGTGCCATATTGTAATACATTTCTATATTTGTAGTTGAATTATTAATCCACATAGTGTTAAAGATTTTAAAATTTCTTTCTATGTTTTTTATTAGTTTTAAATGAAAGATTTGGATTATAATATAGAAATATAATTAAATAAGGGTAACTAGGTAATTTGTATTTAATATCCACAAATCTAATCAAAGAAAGTCCATAATCAAATCCATCAAGCAAACAATAGACTTGTTCAAATCCATAATGCCACCAAATCCATCATATATCCATGGTTTTCCAAAACCCAGGTTTTACCAAAACCCTCATTTTTCAAATCCATGAAACAAACGACCCGTAAATTAAAAATTTATGTGTTTGGAATGTCATGTTCAAACCTTTAGAAATAAATTGAATTAAATTTCTAAATAGTGTTTGGCATAATTCCATAATTAAATTAAAAGTTCCCAACTATAGCCTTATTAGTTTCCAGCAAAACAACATTGTTATAACTCATTAAAAATTCATATTAAAAAAATGCAAGTGTCGAAGTTATCATCAAACCAATATGACTAAGAAAAAAACTAAGGCCTCGTTTGCTTCATGGATTTGGTACTTAAAAATCAAGCATCATGGACTTTGTACACAATCCGTCGTTTGCTTGATGGATTTAGGAGGAATAAATCCGTGGGGCCCACAGACTTTGAGGGTCCAAATCCGTGGACCCACGGACTTGAGAATTCCACCCCAAGAGGTGGGATTTGTGTTGGGTACAGAGTCCATGATGACTTTTTACAATTTTAACCCTACTAATTTCACTAATCACCTACTCATCCTCTTTCATTTATTAATTACCAACTTCAAGTGCATATTAATTTTACATTCAATATTTATTATTATTCATTGCACGAAAGCACTACATTGTAATATTGAAAACCTTAAGGAATTGTCTAATTGTGTGTTTGTTATTGATTAATGATGTTCATTTATTCCAATTGTGGTAGTGGGACGAACCTATTGGATGAAACATGTTTTAAACAAAAAATTATATTGTAAATATAAATAATACTCAATAAGGGTACTAAGGTAAATTCCTAATACAAGCACAAATATAATAATGCCAAATCCATCATGAAATCTAACAAGCAAACAATGGTTTGTACCAAAAACAAAATGAGGCAATTCCATCATATATCCATGGTTTGTAAAACCCAGGTTTTAATCAAAACCTTCATTTTTCAAATCCATGAAGCAAACGATCCCTAAGTTGATAAAACTAGTAAACAATTGGAAAATTCATTTTCTAAAACATTCATTGTAACCCCATTTTCCCCTAAACCCAAGAGAGATTGTTCTCGTTATTATATATTAGGTTAAGTAGCAGTTGAGCGAGGAAGGTTAGACACATAAATATGGAGTATTAGAGCCAAATTAAAGTGTTACGAGATCGGGTCATCGTAGCATTTCGTAGAAGACTGGGCTTGTGTATCTTTAGTATTTAATTATTAGTTCGTATTTGGATATTATTTGAGTCTTTATTATTATTGTCTTAATTAATGTGCTCCTTGTTTAAGTTGGTTTTGGTTATTGTTAATCGTTTCCTTAGCGGAGTAGGAGTCATATTCTAGATGGAAAATGGTAGAGGCTTCTATTCCTATAAATATGTACTTGTTTAGTTCGTTTAATGATAAGAAGATTGGAACCCAAATATTTAGCTTTCGTTCTTTATCTGCTATTTCCTTAGTTATTTTCTTTGAGAGTTCTTTGCGTTTTATTCCTTTTATGAGAAAACCCTAAAAAACGTCATCCCCTACGTTACAATACCGTAAGTCCGTAACATAAAGATATATGGGTTCTTTACTTAATAATTGAGAATAGTTTTTATCATAATTTGTAAAATATTTGTAGAATTCATTTGAAATTCTCCTCCATTCTTTGGAATTGCTAAAAATGCCTAAATTTCGCAATATTCAAAATTTAGAATTGAAAATGAATTTCTTTATATTCCAAACACGAAAAGATTTCATTTCAAAATGGATTACTAAAAACTTATGGAAATCATTTATATCAAACGGTTTGTTAATGGTAGTATGGTACTGACAATTTTTGCTAAACCCAAGGTATATTCCTATCTAACCAAATTGGGTAGTGTATGAAATCCAAGTGTTAAGGTAAATAGGTAGAGTGTGGTGGGTTTATACCCATACCCATTTATTAGAGTTAGGGTTTTTAATCCATGGATTTGAATTTGTACCCATAATCATGCAAATTATAGCTTTGGACCTAAACTTAATAAATCTTTACATTTACTACTTAAATTTAAAAAATTCTTTTGCATATAACGATATGCAGTGGTGTGAAATCTTGTATACAGATTAACCAGATTAACCGTATGATTAAATTTTGATTTAATTGTGGATTTAGAGATTTTAGAGATTTGAAATCTTTAAACCTAAAATCCACAACACAAAAAACAATAAAAAAACCATAACTTTCTATGAAATCTACGGATTCAGTGAACCCACGCCCTATATCATATTCTCCAAACTACTCCTAATTGTGAATTGTTGATTGTAATGTGGGGTTTTTTTTTATGATTACTTGGTATTTATCATTAGGTATAGTTTTAGTATTATTTCGGTAATTCTCCAATATATTAGCAAATTTATCTGGTAACAATACTTATTCATATTTAAAAATGATATTTTGTCGGTATGAAACGGTTGAACTATAATCGTACTACAAAATCCTACTTGTAACTTGTCCAATATAACTTCCAACGTTAAGTTTTCACAAACCTTTGGTTTGAAAACTCAATGCAAGAGCAACTTATGTAGCAAACAAGCTCGAGATTTTGGCTTCTTCAAAATTTTGATTCTTGGACAATTACTTGACATGAAGTCTTGCTCTTTTCTCTTCTCCTTCATGATACCAGCTTACATATTACATAATTACATTGTATCAGTCTGCACTTGCTAGAGTTCAAGCATAGTTCCTTGGGCAAATGTCCAACGTGTATTGCACAAGAACATGTCAGCTTTGCCATGGCTCGGACTCGGAGCACAGTGGCCAAGGGTTGATATTATCGTGCTATGTTTCTTGCTCAAGCTTCAAGATTCACACATAGCCACAGGTCCAGAAAATTAAGAAACAATTATGTAACAAAAGTTTGGGACCATCTAGTATTGATGCCAATATACTTCAGTTGTCCCAAAATCTCGTATTTTCCAGAATAATCAGGCTCTGATCAAGAGGTCTAGAAAGAAATCGACTTTGATGTTCTGTTCTATTCATTTCGAGTCCAGCAGTAGCTGAAAACATAATCACAACTGGAGTTTCAGAAAATCTCTCATGTTATTATGAACCAAGTAAAACTAGAGTGCTTCTCCCTTCAGTCAACCGGCGGCAACAGAGCACTGCAGGAGATTCATTTAGCTGCAAAACAAATCAAAACACAATATAATATCAAAGTGATTTAGTTCCCCAGCCAAAGCAAATCTGAGGAGATCAACGCCTCAGACTATCAAACAAAGCAACCTCTTCCACGTCTCACAAAGTTCAATTCATTACCACGAGTAAGAGAATATGCACACTATAAGCAGAGGATACATCATACATGTCACCAATGCATTAACCATATGAACAAAATAAATCAATGGTGTAGCAGAACTCAGTAAACTAAACCTCATGCTGTAGGAGTATAGACTCTTAGAGTCTCTATGGAGACAAGAATAAAGAAGAGTAGAATGCTGTAGGATCGTTTGAACAGTAATCAAGATCATTGAACGCCGATTTGCTTCTAATTGGCATTCAATGCAATCCAATCCAGCTTGTGACTCCGGCTTGGGGATACATGACTATGCTGATTAGGTTTAATCTCAAAACAGTGAAATCCAAATCATAATATGGTAACACTGAACCATTTACGTACGTAAAGAGGCGGTCCACAGGCACACAAATGAACAAATTGCAGTAGCCCGCCACAGTCGTGAGCAAATAGTATGAAGTTTGACAGAATAGTCTCCCACAATATACACAGATCATCAGACAAAAACAGAAACACACTTCTTCTATTATGGATAACTCGCAATTCCAATCCACTCAGACAACTCATAGTTTCAACTTGAAATGACGAGATCAAAGAAAATGGGGGGGTAAGACTGCGAATTATACCGGCTCAGAAGCCCTCATCGTAGCCAATTATGTTAGTTATTGCGATGGTATAAACAGGCTTAAAAAGCAGACCAAGGTGCAGAACATACAATCGCAGACAGTGGCGGATCCAGGGGGTGGCCACCCCGGGCCCCGGCCCAGCCCTCTCCTGGATGCGGAACTAGTGTATCCCTTATGAGTTTATCGATTTAATCATTTGGCCCAGTGTTATTTTATAATAAAATTGTGTGTAATTAGGAAAATGGGTAAGATGAACATATTCAAATCACAACTCTAAATTTAGCATGAAAATTCTAGCTCCAATAGTTCTCATATAAAGAAAAGCAAACAATGAAACCTAAAATTCTAAAACGTAAAAGACTAAAAGAAATATGAGGTTTATTCTCTTAAGAAATTACTTGAGCAGCTGTTGAAAATAGGAATTGATTAGTCGATTGTGTTGACATTTGCGCAACAAAATGAACGATGAATTTCTCTCCAATTGGTTAACTATTTTATCTTAAAGAGAGTATGCTATTGATGTGGATGTAAACTCTATTATTGATGAATTCACTATATTAAAATTTAAAAAATTTACGTGTACAATTGATATTGTAAAAAAAACAGTGATTTTTTTACGATATCTAATTTTCTAATGAAATGCGGCCCAGTGCTACGCTGTGTCCTGGATCCGCCGCTGATCGCAGATTTGCTGGTATTCTATAGCTTGTAATCAGAAATCAAAAGCTCATTTCCAACTACCAAAAATGAAAAGCAAAATCAAAGAATGTATTCTGTAGCAGATCTTTCTCCGGCGACATTAATCGGATACTGAAGCAAGCAATATTAGGTAGCAAAATCTACCTCTTGTGCCTCTGGACGAACTTGGAATTCTTGGCGTCCTCCTCTGCGAATCAATGAACAAATTAGGGTTTGTAAACTAAAATCCATGAAATACACGGTGGAAAGCGACCAAGATGAAACAAAACGCGTAGATAGAGGAATCGCACCAGTTAGGCCGAGGGAGAGCTTGGTGATGATGGTCCCGGTGACGGCGAAACCGACAAGGAACGGCCAGTTGCGATTCCATTCTCGCTTGAAGAAAACTGGCCACGGGTCGAACAGCCTCGGCATTTTCTCTCCGGATGGTATGATCTTCTTCCCGAAGTTGGATCCTGGGCTCTCGTGAAATTCTCGGAGATTGGTGTACGGAAGGCGATCGGGTAATATATTTGCCCGAGGAATCGATGTTGTAAGGCACGACTCTGTCGTGGCCGTCCGATCATAAATCTTTCGGCCTGAGACCCATGATCCAACAAGAATACTGATATTAGGATCGGACCATGAATAATTGGGCCTTATCGATGGGTCGCTAGATTTATGGGCCATCCTTTATGATTGCTTTGCCACTCAAAACTAAGTTGATTTAGTTGGTTGAAAATTGAAGGATAATGTATATTTTTTATTTAAAAATTTTCAAGATTTTTTTATATTATCCAAACCTATTAAAATTCTATTAATTATCCAATATTTTTTATAATGTATCAAAATATTAGTCATTTTTACGTTATCGTTAATAATTTTGTAATTCTTTTGTTAGTTAAAATATTAAAATTTTGGAATGTTGACCTTCCTGAGTCTCTTCCAATTCAATATCATGTTGTCAAGGAAATATTACTAACAAAGTTGCCAATTGGAAGTTAACATTTGGCTAATTTTTAGTATTTCGATAAGTTTGGATAAAAAATAAACATTACCCAAAATTGAAATAAGGTAATAAACAAGGAAAAAATCCAAAACTACCACTGTTTAAAAAAATTACAAAAATACCACTCATTCCCAACAATTTCCAAAAATACCACCCTTTATTAAAAACCGCCCCTCTAAGTGGCGGTTAATAAACAAACCGCGCCTCCTGGCAGCGGTTTACAATATAACCGCCTCGTCAGCCAGCTTTTTCATTTTCCAGCTAAAACCGCTCCTCTAAGGAGCGGTTTATATGCAAACCCTACCACAAAACGCTTGAAGAGGAAGCGTTTTAGTGTCGGCATGATAAACCGCCCCTACAGGGCGCGGTTTACTTTGTCCACACACAAACCGCTGCCTAAAGGTGCGGTTTGTTGTCGACAGCAGACATAAACCGCTGCCCCAAGGCGCGGTTTGTGTCTGCTCATCCGACAGCAGACATGTCGGCATGCAGGGGGTGGGGCTGCATTGCAGACCTAAAACCGCTCCCCCCACCCGCGGTTTGTGGTCCAAAATTCCCCTATAAAAGGCTGATTCAGAGAACTCAAATTCTTCACACTCCTCCTCTTCCTTCTTCAAATTTCAGTTTTGCACCTTTAAATTATTTAGTTTTTGCGATTTAATTCGTAAGTTTGTTTTGTATTACTTATCATTGCCCTTTGTGATTTTATATTAGTAACTTAATTACTTTTCATTACCCTTTGTGATTTTATGTTAGTAACTTAATTACTTTTCATTGTCCTTTGTGATTTTATGTTAGTAACTTAATTACTTTTCATTGTCCTTTTTTATTTTATGTTAGTAACTTATTTACTTTTCATTGTCCTTTGTGATTTTAGGTTAGTAACTTAATTACTTTTCATTGTCATGTCCCTCTTGTATTACTTATCATTGTCTTTGTGATTTTATGTTAGTAACTTAATTACAGTTTTATTGCAGATGGCATTCCAAAGGTTCACGATTGGGTTGCGGTGGAATGGTTACACGGAAGAGACCGAAAAGGGTGTAAGTTACGTCGGTGGCAATTTTTATAGAATGAAGGTCCATACGAGACCGACGCTTGAAGAACTCCATCAAATGTGCACTCAGATTACCTGCATGGATGGCACTAGAAGAGTTGATCAAATGGTGCATCGATATCCAAACAAACATGACGGGTCGCTGTGGAATGAGGAATTCCTCCTTACCACTCAGGAGGACGTTGATGCCATGGTCCAATTTTTGACCACCAATAAAATTAAGCAAGCGGAGATGTTCGTTTACACCGAGGACGTCGAAGGCGGTGTAGGTCATTCTGGAGATGGCCAAACATCTGGTATCCACGGTGGGAGTGTATAATACGAGGATCATCCCCACCAGGATTTCCAAGACTCGAGCTGGAGGCAGGAGTATCATCATAGAACTGGAGGTCATCATCAATCCTTCCCGTCATATGAAGAAGAAGCTCAACAGGCGGATCACAACCAACAAGCAGGCTACCAGTACCCACCCGAGTACAACTTCTATCAAAGCGGTGTTAGTTACCACAACTACCATTACGGAGCTGGTGAAGGTGCCTTTCATGATGATAATCAGATGGAAGAAGAGGTCAATCCAAGTCCAGTTAGTGACCCTGAGATTGAAGAAGAGGAAGGCGAAGTTAGTGCAGACAGCTCCGATCCGCTGGAAGGTGCTGATGATTCTGGTCCAGATTCAGACGCAGACGGTGATGAGGTACCTCACGACCGTGTACCTATTCCATACTACAATCACATTCAAAATGAAGATTGGTATGTTGATGCCGACATGGACCCGCCAGAGGTGCCAGTATGGGGTGCACTCACTGGCTTTACTAAGGGCCAACAATTTGGAACGAAGAATGAGGTCCGGCACGCTATTGCCACTGAAGCAATGACTCGGAGTTTTGAATGGCAAACAACCCATTCCAACACAAAGAGGCTGATGGTTCGATGCAAGAATGAAAATGCGGGATGCAAAGCTAGGGTTCGGGCCATCAAGAGCAAGAGAGTCGGCCATTGGGTCATATCCCGTGCGGTGAACACACACACATGTGTGTCATCAATAACATCCCAAGACCATCGACAGTTGAAATCAAGGGTGGTTGTCGCGGCTATCAAACATCTAATTGAGGAGGAGCCCGGCCTGAAGGTGAAAACCATCATCGCCGACATTTCTAGTCGTTATGGTTATATCATTAACTACAAGAAAGCATGGCATGGGAAACAGAAAGCCATGGCTGTCGTGTATGGTGACTGGGAAGAATCATATGCATTCCTTCCCAAATTGATTTTGGCGTTGGAGGTGTCTAACCCTGGCACCATTTTCTCGCCTCGCTACCAAGATGAAGAAATTCAACCGCCGGTGCCTGGTAACAAGCGCCAATTCAAGCGTCTTTTTTGGGCATTCAAGCCATGTATTGATGGTTTTCCATACTGTGTTCCTATGATTCAAGTTGATGGAACATTCCTTACCGGCAAGTACAAGGGTACTCTACTGATCGCCAGCGGAGCAAATGCAAATAGAGCAATACATAATTGGCCCTTCACTTGATTTGTCATCTTTTTGTTGATGATCTATTTATTTTTCAGCGTTGGTCATAAGATAGCCGTCGGAACCCTTCTTTTCATACAGAAAGTCAACTTCCACAAATGTGCTCTATTTGTGTCCAAGCAAGCAAAAAAAAAAAACATAAAGAGCAACCTTGCTAGTATTTCCGGAATTTCAAATGATGTGTAAGGAAGAAACTCTATGGACCTGATTGCAAGTTTTGAATAGTTATAGGATGAAGTGTTTTTTTCATTTACAGTGTAGATGTTATATTTTGTTGTGTGAAATAAAATTTTGTCCGGATGGCTTTCTACTTCTTCATCTCTTTGAGAAGTTTCTAGAGAGTGTGAACAATCCGTTCGATCCCTCTCGACCTCGCTATCATATTCTCTCCAGATTCTCGATTGTTCATCTTCTTGGCGATCAAGTTTCTTGATTTTCTTTCGATTCAGTTAAATCCTTCCGCTTACTCACTCTAACTCTTCCGTTCTCTTCACAGATTTCTGATTAATTACTCTTATTTTCATAATTCTCCTTCGAGTTTGATGAGAAACCCTAAGTCTATTCTATGGTGGCTTTCTCGACGATTTCTTCGACGTTTGGTATTATGACGTCTACCACTCTCTTGGCTTCTCATCCATTCTTTATCACCAACAGAGATGAACTTTGACTCTAGTAGGTAACTATTCCTCTCTCTAGCTTGCATTGCAACTCATGGGTCAGATCGATGCGGATGGGGCTTTACTCAAGGAACAAGCTCTCACTCATCGATTTGTGTGCTCTTATTCCGCCTCCTAAAGATCCACTATAAAATGATTGGGAACAAGCCAACGTTATGGTTATTGGATGACTTCTGTGATTTGTTACCCAAGAAATAGCACAATGTGTGGTTGAGGAATTTTACAATACTATATAGCATTGGTGCTATAGGTTTTTGCCTTTATGGTACAACTTGAAATTGTACCTTTAACGTTACGGTACAACTTCAGATTGTACTTATACTTTTTGTTCAAATTCTTTTATGGTACAACTTAAACTTGTACCTTATGTGATGGTACAACTTCAAGTTGTAAAGTTGTGCCATAACATAATGATACAAATTCCTTTATGGTACAACCTAAACTTATACATTTAATGTTATGGTACAACTTCAAGTTGTACATTAAAGCACCAATGCTGTATAGCATAGTAGAAGTGCTCATGTGTGCTTTAGTTCAACATTGCGGTTAAAATGTGGAGTGAAATGTTCAGTGATGGGAAATGAAGTCAGAATCTTATTTATCTACGATGAGATTTCAGCTCTCAAGCAGGGAACCCTATCTATAAGTGCCTATTTATCAAATTTCGTATAGTTTAGGAAGAATTAGTGATTGTCCGTCCCCTTCCCACATGCAAATGTAACCCTAAGTGTACCCGTGAAACTGCTTCGATTCCTCGAGAGTATATGCATAGAGATTAAGTCAATAGGTTGCTGAAAGGACTCAGTGAGAACTTTGTTGGATTCGTTCTCAGTTCTTCATAATGGTCTCGTTGCCTTAAGTCACCAAGGTCATTGCTTGCCTTATTCAGCATGAAATGCAGCCCACTGTACTTCCTCATTTCTACAAGTTGTTATTCCTCTACTAAATTTTGGGTGTTCAAGTGTTGCCCTATTTTATATAGCAACCTGACTGACTACATTTAAGGACACAGTTACATTTATCATTCCTCTCTTCCATCTCTTTTATCATCCTTAGCATGGATTGTTGACAATGGTGCAACTCAACATGTAGTATTTGTTGTCCATATATTTGAAACTTATAGAACAATAAGTCACTGATGCAATTGTATTATATCACAAAGCAACAAAATCCTATAAATGTATAGGGTTGTACTCCACGGGTCTTTCAATAGTAACTACTTCGTAACTGTATATTTGTGCTAGCACAAAGATGCAATAAAAAGTAAATACGATGGGTTGAGGTTCCCTATGATGGCCGATTTTTTACTATAAGTAAAGCAAACAATTAAAAGACATAGATAGATAGATAGATAGATAGATAGATAGATAGATAGATAGATAGAACTATTATTTAGGTAGCTTCATCTAGATGATCATCCATACTAACTCATTCATGCTTATGCATTCATGCATGTCTTCTATAATGATTACATATCTCTTCCACTAATGCATTCATAATCAAGCTTTCTCCACATGAAAAGGAACTAAAATTAAACAATGCATGCTTTACTTCATGCCAATAATAGGGTTGACAGCCAAACCCATACAATTCAGTATCCACCCGAACTGCTCAACGTTGGTAAAACCTGCATTGAATGGGGTCGGCTAAAACCCGGGTAGTAACAATGGGAGGTTTGCCATAACAACTTATATGTGGACAACAAGTAACTAGAAAAGGATTACATGGCTGTTACGGCGTATTATGTGGACAATTATTGGATTCTTCGAAATCACATACTTAGGTATGATATCTATTATATAATTTGACCTATATCTTGTTTACATTACTGGAGTTCTGGTGGGATTTTTAGGATTTTTGCTGCTGGATATTTTGTTGCTGGAAATTTGTTGCTGCAAGTTGCTGAAATCAGTTGGAAAGTTTCTGGATTTTTTCTGGGATCCACTGGAATTTTTTGTTTATTTTTTTTGCTGAATTTGTGCTGGAATTTTTTCTAGAAATTCTAAATTATGCACTTTGAACGTGGTTTAAATGTTAAACTTGGTGTTATGTTAATTATCATATTGAGTAGTTTGTTTAATTTTGTTATCAAATTATTTGGTTTGATGAGAGGAAAAAAAAGAAGAGTTGGGATCTCGGCGAGTATCCATGGTTTTTAGGGTAATACCCGATACTCGTTTGGGCATGGGCGTGGGCATAGTCATATTCTCATGGATTTACTATCCATCCTCCTATTTTGGGTAGGTTTCCAGTTTCCACAAATACCTTCTCGAGTGGGTATTGGATACCCACTATCTGTCCCGTCCTGACCCATTGCCAACCCTAGCCAATAACTAACAATTAAGAACAAGGAAGTATAGATTGCATAAACATTTTAGGGCTTCTACTAGTGCATAGCATTCGTCCCTATATTTGGTGATCTAATTCATCAAGATTTATATGTTTGAGCGATCACTTTAACAAGATTTATATGTTTTGGTCTCAGGAACCATCAGGCCTTGTTGTAAAATCTGGAAGTCCATATGGGCACCATTACTCAAGATTTTACAAACAGACCTCTAAGAACACTCCCATATCATACCATTCCCAATCCCAAGGACCCCAGAGCATACATGAATTATACCACTCTAAGGATTAGGTGAGAGACCATAGACATTTTGTCCCCCAACCATGAAACCAGGGACAATTTCCTCCACCCAAACCTACGCAAACTAGAGAAGAGGAGAAGGAGGATGAGGTGCCTATTCCAAAGTCAAAGCAAAACCCTGCGGTGGCAGAGTATGTGCCTCAACTCCCATTTCCCACATGTATGCACAAGGAGTGCCTTGAGATAGGGTTCGTCAAGTTAATGGCCATGCTTAAACATATCCATATTAACACCCCCTTCGTGGAATCATTGTCCCAGATGCCGAAATATGCCAAATTCATCAAGGACATCCTCACGAATAATAAGAATCTTGGAGATATCTCCACAATGATGTTGAAAGAGAAGTGCTCATCCACTATGCAGAATAAGCTTCCTAAGATTGAGGACAAGAAAGGTGTGGAATACCTAGATGCCAATCACCTATCTCGCATTGAAAGCCTTATGTGGATAACTTCAATCATAATATCAATGGTTCCTTCTCATATGGGAGGATCTCATGATGTGCCTAATCAAGTGTGACACTCCTTGGTTCTCCAATTTTGCCAACTGCCTGGTTGGAAAGTCACTACCCAAGGGGATGACCACACAAGAGAAGCATATATTCTTCTCCAATCTGCCATTATTTTTTGGGATCATCCTTACCTATTATGGATCGGAGCATAGTGATTCGTCATTGTGTGATGGAGGCGGATATGCATGATATCATTACTCATTGTCACGAATGCCCCACAATGAGGCCATCATGAAGGAAACTGCATGACGTAGAAGGTGCTACAATCGGGGTTCTATGTCGTGTGGTGCTGCCAGCGTTCATGCACCATCTTTTCACGAAATGAGATGGCCAAACCAATGTCTTGAAAAAGTCGTTGTTTAGTAGGGGTGTTCTCAAGAAGGATTGATAATTAAACTTCAGATACATAAATCTAAGTTGAGATTATGTTCAGCGTCAAACTTTGAACCAATGAATCAGAGATAGTGACCAACATTTCATAATTATAGGAGAGAAATTAATATATGACTTGGAATTATAGATATTCAAAAGTTGACACAACGATAAATAAAGGGAGAGGTAATGATAAATACCAATGTTTTCAGAATCGAAACGGATGCTGAACCGAAAAAGTTAGTGGTTGATGGTTCAATGGTTAACCATTATAGAACCATTGATAAATCTGTTCATGCGCTCTAACATAAAAGGCATATATCACTAATTTAAGAACGAATTTACCACTAGTTGTAAACAATTTCAAATCCATATCATCTATCACCAAAAAATTACAACAAAGCATTCAAACTATCTCACAAATGAAATCATAATTTCGTTATGAAATTCAAGTTAGTAATGAGGGTGGCAATCTGTATTGGACCACAGATAGCCGACAAGGAGACTGGAAAGAAAAGAAAGAAAATAAAATTAGCTATTGAGGTTGGATGATTTTGGTTTACGTTTAACTTTTTTTTCTTAATAATTGTGGTTAAAATTATGAAGCAATGGACTAGTCAAACCAGAGTGGTTCATCTGGTTCCCTGTCAAAAATCATTCGATTTATCTTTAATTGTCCAATCGAAAGAACTGAATGCTATTGTAAATGGTTTAGTGGTTTTACTAGTCTAGGGGTCGTTTGCTTCAAGGATTTTATAATGAGGGTTTTGTCATGGATTTGCTAATTAAAAACCTTGGGATTTATTAGGGATTTTGGGCATTATGGATTTGAGGAAATCTTTTGTTTGTTGAGCTATTTTTATCATGGATTTGATGATTTTTCAACTTGTCTCCAAATCCCAGGGTATGAGGTGGGATTTACAAATTCGTGGGGCCCACGGATTCGGAGCCCCCAATCAGTGGACCCCACGGATTTGGTACCCTCCATTTTGGCTCAACAAACAATGACTTTTGGACAAATCCTTCATGTGTTGGATTTGAGAACCAAATCCCACGTCCAAATCCTTGAAGCAAACGACCCCTAAATGTTGATCTGATTCTTATAACAATGATAAATACGAAGTTACGGGATCTAGAATCATACGTGACAAATTAATATGCAATAATATTCCATATGTTATGTTAGAGCCCAGAGGACAAACAATTATGTATACTCCATTTTTTCTAAATTATATTAGGATAATTATTTTTATTAGAATCTACAAGCATTGCTCATTTCAGAACCAAACTACAATTCAATTGCTGATCTTTATAAAGTTCCATTGTTCTTTGTGATTCTACCTCATCTCCACGGTAACATAACCTTAGTAATTACTAATTAACTAAGGTGCATTTCGTCATTCCCAAGCAACATGAGAAAATAGTTAAATTTTCGCCCCAAACCAACGACGGTGGATTAATTAAATTTCCAATAGCGGGAAACGAAAACTTTCAAAAATTCACGAGCACACGACTCAAATTTTCGCCAAAACCAGCGCGGAGGGAAAAACAAAAACGGAAAAACATGTTAACAGTTGAAGCTCGCTTTTCAATTGGCTCATTTCAAACGACGCGGATCGAGCAATAAACAAAAGGCCGTCCGTCGATGAGAGCCTAATCCAACGGTTCTCATCCTCCCACCCCTCCATTTCGCACACTGCTGCCCCCCGGCTTCGCCTGGACATCCAGCTATAAAAACGGATCGCGCCGTGAAACCACCGCATCATTCTCCGTCTCTCAGCCTTCCTCTCTCTCTCGCACTCCAATAGTTAATCGCCGGTCAGTTTCAGTCGCAGTCAATCGTATTCTCTCGAGATGGATGCCGCAACTAAGGTGAAGAAGGGAGCCGGTGGCAGGAAGGCCGGCGGCCCTAAGAAGAAGCCCGTCTCCAGGTCGGTCAAAGCCGGTCTTCAGTTCCCCGTCGGAAGAATCGGAAGGTACCTCAAGAAGGGAAGGTACTCTCAGCGGGTCGGCACCGGAGCTCCTGTCTACATGGCCGCCGTCCTCGAGTATCTGGCTGCTGAAGTAAGCTCCATTTCTTCCCCTTTTCCCTCTTCTCAGATCTGATTGCAGTTGACCTAAATTGAATTCGTTGATTGAAATCTCTTGGCGGAACCCTGATTCTTTTGTTCTTGTTGTTGTTGGTTCTGCCCAGGTTCTTGAGCTGGCTGGAAACGCTGCCCGTGACAACAAGAAGAACAGGATTATCCCTCGCCATGTGTTGCTGGCCATCAGGAACGACGAGGAGCTCGGAAAGCTGCTCGCCGGAGTGACCATTGCGAGCGGTGGTGTTCTCCCCAACATCAACCCGGTGCTGTTGCCGAAGAAGACCGACAGAGCCACCAAGGAGCCCAAGGAAACCAAGTCGCCAGGCAAGGCCGCCAAGTCACCGAAGAAAGCTTAGTTGAATGGGTTACACAGACAGACTGCTTGTGTTTCTTCTTGGCTCCGTTTTAGATGTACCTAATTCTCAGTTTAGTTGTTTTGGTGGGTTTCTTTTCCGTGTTGGATCCCAGAGAAAAAAAAAAACAGATGCATTATGTGAAAAAGCGGCATCTCCTTTCTTCTCTACTCATCGTTGTTATCACAGTGGTAGGATGTGTAAGGATTGTAGTGATTGGAGCTGTTATGGATTGGAACATTTTGTTTCCGCCCAATTTCTTGTTACTGCATTCATTGTTCATGGTTACTTCATTTTCACTTGCTTCAGTGTTATGCTCCCATTTGTTGGCTATTTGTGATGATAGACCGCCATGGATGGCTAACTCTGAAGCTAACGAGCATATAACAAGAGCGAAATCTGACTATTCTCAAACTGGTGCTTGTCAATGCTTCAAGTTTTATCATTCTGAATTAATCCAAAAAAGTAATTTGCTGATACATCGATGGGCCTGGCCTGACCTGACACAATTTGGGCTTAATTTGAAGTTATAACTGTTAATGTTTCGTGGATGCTTGAGTGTCGAGGCTCCCGCTGGAGTTGAATACGAGCTATCGATGTGGAAGAGTCTGTAGGAGAAAGGGAGGAGGAATTAGAGATGAAGGCCGAGAGCAGGTCGATCAGAAAACAAGGCTATAGCAGGGAGCTTCATCGGCGTTTCGTTCGAACCGCCGCTTGATCGCTGCGTCCTCCAATCACCGGTGATTGAATCAGAAGAAGAGCGGAGGAACACGGGAAGTGATCGCAATTGAGAGACTGTTCCTCTTGATCAGGTTTTTGCTTCGAGAATTTTGAAGGTAACTCCATTGGAGTTTATGAGATGATCTACGCCTGGTAATAATTTCGTGAGGTTGCCTAGTTGTTGCGCCAGTCGATTTCCCCTTTCATAGCAGCAAGTCCATTTCTCTCTACTTGTATATTTTTGTCGCCACTGTGCTTGATTATTGCATGAATTGGAATTAGCAAACATGAAGTGAATTCATAGTCTTTTGATGCCCAAGATTGGTCCTAGAGATGTACACAAAGAGATTTATACAGATGCTCAGTTATCTCAGTGACAGACCCAGTGAACTTACAAATATTGATAATTTGAAGGTATACAATCCTGTCCAGAACCACTTTGAGCATATCATCTGTGAAAGCAGCAACTAGTCTTGATTGAGAGCTGGCTTATTCCAATTCATCAGTTGATGTTGATTGAGAGACCAAATTGACTTGTTTTAATATACCATAAGAGTTCAATGGTGGGTCTTGGCTCATTCCTTCTGTCTTTCGTTTTTTTGTTATGAAGTGTTTTTACTTTTTTTACTTTGAGTCTTGCAATAGTTATTGCCTTACCGCAACGGTGTCTTGTTTTTTGAATGATTGATATGTTTAAGCACCCAAGTTTTCATTGTTTCGCGGGAATGAGTAGTTAACTTAAATCTATGTTGTTTGTCATTGGACATATTGTAAGAGTTTCAAAATAATGGTGATTTCCATCATCAGAATGTTCCAAGAGATTACTGGTTATGATATGAAAACAATGTCTGAACTAATGGTCTCATCTAGCATTGATCACATTTATTTATATGTCATTGTTAGAGTAGCTGGTTGCAGTTATTCCCTCTGATTTGCATAAGTGTTCCCTAAAAAGTTTCATCATTGATTTAGAACCATAGGGTTGCAGTTGTTCCCTCTGATGGCTAGAGAAAATAGACAACATCCACAGGTTATACCATAGTACAGTGCGTCTGTGCGATTATCTTCCTCTGAAAATTATCAAAATACAAGCAGGAGGGAACCAACTTTTATCAGAATGGCAAAAGGATCGATTCCTCTGAGCAATAGAAGGAAATCCTATTTGAAAACTGAAATAAGAGACGGAAAAATAAAAGATAATGTTGATTCGCTTGATTTATGAGTGGAGAGTTATCCTCCCACGATGTTAGCATCAGTTATGGTCATGATCGGCTACTGATTTTTATGCATGCACTAGAGATCCAATATCTAGATGATGTACATAGCTGACTTTACTTTTCTCAGGGATTGACTACTATATTGGAAAACTAAGCAGTTAGTATGTCATTGTGATTTTGCTGAATGTCAAGTATGGGCATATGCTCCTTTTACTATTCTTGTAGCTTGAATGTCCATTGTTGTTTTGGAGCTGAAGAGCTTGATGGTTCTTGATGCATTCTTTGTCTATTTTGTTTTGTATGTATGGGTTGAAGCAGAGGTTGAAGAGTTGCTTGTCACTTTGAATTTGGATATAAAGATGCATGCACAGAGGTACGTCATATTTCAACAAGCGAATTTTGATATCCTCTGTGTGCAAATTGGTGTAATTATAGGAGACAGCGCATCAAGCAGTTAAGACTTAAGATTATCTTTGAAGAGCCATAGGTTGCAGAGTTGCTTGTCAAGTTTTATCAGAAAGGTAAATCATAGTCAGCTTATTTCCTTTATGAAATTGAACCGATGGACTACGTTGGGTTAAAATCGGATACATCTAGTAGTTGTTTTGTATGTGCTGCGATCACTGTGTTATACTGTTAGGTTGGTCTTGTTTCTCAAAGTCCGAAGTGACTGATCAGATTCTGCAATTATAGGAAGTATGAATGTCATTTAAAGCTTAGTTATTGAACATCGTAAAAGGAAATAATTAAAAAGGACTAAGGTCGAATTTGCACCACTTCGAAAGCCAAACAGATCGCGGTTTTACTGATCTACGAGTAGTGACTATACATGGGTCATCCATCTGCTTGTCCAGGACTGAAGCATACTTAGTGAACAATCAGCTGGCGCTTGGAAGTTAGGGTTTACCAATTCCTGGAGTATCTATTCCATTAAAAATAGCTTGTGGATACCAACTCATATTTGTTCCCCATATCTCTTGGAATCTATGACGAATCAATGGTTTAGTGATTCTGTGATTGATTGATGGCCCTCATAGCAGGTACAATTAACTTCCAAAAGTTCTTACTTGTATACATTGTTGATACCTAAGTATGATTTCAGCTCAAATAGACGCGAATTAAGAATGTTATATTCTTGGAGTTTGTCATGATTTTATTTCATCTCATCTTTCAATTGTTTATATACTGAATGAGACTTGAACAAACTAGAAAGTTTGGTCATTGGAGCAGATGCTCGACTGTAAACAAACTAGAGACTGCACAATGACGAAGAAGAAAAGATCCAAGCTCCAATTACAAAAGTTAAATTGCACATCACACCCAGTACCAAACAAGCAACAGTCTAAAACCCTAATCCTACCCAGATACAAACATACACATTTCTCCCGGCCACAACCGCACACCCAAATCCTAACCAAATTCAAGAGCTGGTAAACTTGGTGACGGCCTTGGTCCCCTCAGAGACAGCGTGCTTCGCGAGCTCCCCGGGGAGCACCAGCCTGACGGCGGTCTGGATCTCCCTGGAGGTGATGGTGGGCTTCTTGTTGTACCTGGCGAGCCTCGAGGATTCCTGTGCGAGCTTCTCGAAGATGTCGTTGATGAACGAGTTCATGATCCCCATGGCCTTGCTCGAGATCCCGATGTCCGGGTGCACCTGCTTCAGGACCTTGAAGATGTAGATCTTGTACGTCTCCACGCTCTTCTTCGTCCGCTTCTTCTTCTTGTCCCCGGCGGCGCCTCCTTCCTTGGGGAGCTTCTTCCCGGCCTTGGGCTTCTTCTCCGCTGGAGCTTTCTCCGCCACCGTCTTCTTCTCCTCGGCTGGCTTCTTCTCCGCGGGCTTCTTCTCTGCCTTGGGTGCCATTTCTGGAGAAATTAGGGTTTGGTTGGCAGATTGGGTTTTTGGTCGAGGGGGAGAGAGAAGGAAAAGCTCAGATAGGAATCGTGTTGTGAGATAAACAACTGGTAGATGACGGGTTATTTATATATATGGAGCTTATGAGGTTTTGATTGGTTCCTGGGGTCTTGTTCAGGATTGCTGACGTGGTAGCTTCCCGCCGTGCGATTCGGATTAGTAACCTGAATTAATCGACGGTGGAGAGAGAGTTTATAACGCTGGCCTGTATTTCCCAACACGCGGATGGATGACGTGGATAATATCTGGGTCCGTGCCACCGTGAATTGGGCTAAGATCAGGTGACTAAGGGGGGGTCCCTTAGCCACAAGACTAAGCCAATCTCAACCATTGAACCTCATTAAAATCTAATGGTTCAGATCTATCTAGTTTAATGAAGGGTAATGTGGTAATTACATAATTAATTTATTTAATAATTAAAAAATACATATTGTTATTCTTACCTGTCAGCGCAGCCGTTTCGTTTTTCTGGGAATTCTCCCGGCGGATCCCCAAACCACGCCGCCGTTCCCAGGGAGAAGAAGAATTCTCTTGCTGATGGGAATTAATTGACGACGCGGCGGAGGAAGCTTCTGGGAATTCTCCCGGCGGATCCCCAAACCACGCCGCCGTTCCCAGGGAGAAGAAGAATTCTCCTGCTGATGGGAATTAATTGACGACGGCGGCGGAGGAAGCTTCCAAAGGCGCCATGGAATTTGGGAATAGGAACTATTTGCTCGCTGATGGGAATTATTTGGGAATAGGAATTACTTGCTCGGAGAGAGAGAGAGAGAGAGAGAGAGAGAGAGAGAGAGAGAGAGAGAGAGAGAGAGAGAGAGAGAGAGAGAGAGAGAGAGAGAGAGAGAGAGAGTCAACTTTTCCGGCGACGGCGGAGCAGTTTTCCGGCGACCAGAGACGGTGGTGGATGATTTTCCGGCAACAGTATTGAGTTCGTGATGTTTGTAATGTTTATATTACTATTTTGTATACATTGTAATGTTTGTAATGTTTGTTTGTCATGTTTGTTATTTTGTAATGTTTGTATACTTTTATGTTATGATTTGTATACTTTGTATTCATTTGTTTGTTTGTAATGTTTGTATACTTTTATGTTATGATTTGTATACTTTGTATTCATTTGTTTGTAATACAAGTTTACCAATCTGTATTGTAAGTAGTGATATTCTGTACGTGTAGTATGCTTTGTACTGTTTGTAATGTTTGTAATGTTTGTTTGCAATGTTTGTAATGTTTGTTATTTTGTAATGTTTGTAATGTTTGTTGGTTTCTTTTGTATTTGTTTGTAATGTTTGTTATTTTTGTCCACATGTTTGTCATTTTTGTCAACCATGTTTGTAATGTTTTTTGCATCACAAATCAATACATATAAAGTATACAAATTATTAGTACTTACAATACAAAGCGAAACATACTAAGAATACAAGCAAAACATACTAAGAATACAAACTGTCAAAGAAAAACATACTAAGAGTACAAACTGTCAAAGAAAAACATACTAAGAGTACAAACTGTCAAAGAAAAACATACAAACCATACTGTCAAAGAAAAACATACAAACCATACTGACATTTTGTACAAAAATACTAACAATACAAACTAATGTTACAAAACATACAAACTATACAAATCACTGTTCTTCCTTCAGACGACTCTCTCTCCACCGCTGCCGCCGCCGTCGACTCTCTCTCCACCGCTGCCGCCGCTGATTCAATCTACTGCCATCGCCGACGAGCTCGAAATGACCATCAGAGGGTAGATCGATGCAAGATCTACACGGAGACAAGAACCACGCGCCGTGAGGAACCGACATGGAAGGGAGATCTGGAGCGGACGTGAACGCAAAGAAGGGATGGAGAGCGTTGGCGCGGCGGTGGCAGCGGCGGCGTGAGGAACTGTTCTTCTTTCTCTCTCCATCGTCGCCGTCGGCGCTTCTCTCACCGTCGCCGTGCATCTCTCTCTCTCTCTCTCTGTGAACGTGAAAGAAGGAGACGGTTGGAGATAAATTTTTTTTTTTGGGTGAAGACGGTTGGAGAGAATTGGAGAGGGGAAAAAAGAAAAAATAAATAAAATGGAAATCAGGATTTAATTATTTTTTTAAATTCCAAAACTACCCCTCTGATTAATTGCTAACCCTTCTTTCATCTGGACCATTAGATCTACCCATTCTAATCTAAGGGCTGAGGGGAGCTTAGCCACTTGACTAAGCACCCCCCCTTAGTCACCAGATCCGGACTCCCGTGAATTCCGCTGGAAGGTTGTTAAACCGGGTTAAGTTATTTAGCCGGTCAAGTAAATGATTTGAGATTTATTGGTTTGATCGGGATTCGATCGATTTGAGTCGTTTGATAAGTTTTCTAGATATATACACAAATAAGATAGTAATTACAAATTAAGAACTGAAATGAAATTTATTTTACATGTATCTATTCAAAACTTATTTCCCACAACATTATACCTACCTAACCTCTAGGGATGGCAATTTGAACTCGTCCCGTCGGGTATTACCCGACCTGACCCGCGATGGGGCGGGTATTACCCGACCCGCGATGGGGCGGGTATTACCCGACCCGCAGTAGCATGGGGCGGGGCATGGGTATCAACTTCTTACCCGCCCTGCCCCGCCCCATTCTTGGCCCGTTCTAGGTCAATTTCTTACACCATCCATTCATATATCTCCTATTTTGGCTTTTCTTCAACTAGTTAGACTTGATCTTTCAATTAAATGGACCCAATTATCCATTATATTATCACTATTATTCATTCATGAAGTCTTTCCCATTCGTTTTATTGTAAAAAGTAAAATTTTGCTTGTATTTTTTTCAAATAGCATATAAGAGTGGGTCGACCCGCCTCGTACCCACGCGGGTATTACCCGCCCCGACCCGTAGTAGCGTGGGGCGGGGCATGGGTATTGAGGTACCCGCCCCGCCCCGACCCGACCCATTGCCATCACTACTAACCTCCATGATTCACCCACCATCTTCCTTCCTTCTTTCCCCTCCTCTCTCTTCTTCTCTCTCTTTAGGGGTCAGACCGAGGAGCTTTCTGAATGTTGTTTTGAAGCCCGAATTAGGTCAGATCGGGTCCAACCGGGAGCTCGATAGGGGTTTAACAACCTTGTATTGGACACTCCAAATGAAGTCACCGTGAAAATGAAGTCCAACCGGTGGCTCGCTTTGCGCAATTTGATCAGATGTCCAAGAGATCCTTCTTCGAATGGACGCCCTACACACTCGTCCCGATGTCGCCGATGATCAGCAACTTGCTCGTAATGAAGGTCGTGGACTGTTGCCTCTTCCCAATCAACGACTGGTCTCACTGATCCTCCAATTCAGCTGCCTCGAGGTTTTGCTCATAACAATCAGGATGCAGCACAAGAACATATTCACGGTCCACCTCGAGGTAAAAATCAGACTCAACTGCCTCGTCTCGATTTTCCTCAATTTGGAGGAGATAATCCTAAGGATTGGACTCAGAAGTGTGAGATGTTCGATATTTATGCTATTCCCAATTATCAGAAAGTGCAAA